TCTAACAGTACAATTTTTGATTTATTTAAACTCATCATTTTTGATACTAGATATTTCATCAGTTATGTTTTCAATACAAATTAATATTTTAATGTAATTAAAACCACAAGAAAAATATCAACTAAAAACTTACTGAAGCTAAAACTTTGTACGATGGACCACCGGGTATAACAACAGCATCAAATTTGTGATTTTTTACATCTCCCAACTTWGCATCAGTTTTAATCAGTAGATTCGATTTAGTCTTTACATATACACAATCATTTAAATCAGCAATTGTAACAGTCACCTTTAAAACAGTAAAAATATATTAGATTATTAATAATTTATTACATTAAACAACTAAATAGATTATTAAAAAATATTATATAATATTGTATTAAATAGTAAATTTATGCAATACTAGCTGAACAACCCGGCTTTGCCTCTGTGCAGTTTTTTTTCGCAGAAAATCCTTTTTAGTATAATAGTATACATATACACTATCTCTGTGTTAGTGTATCTCAGTTCACAGACAAATTGGCATCAGTGTACCTAGCTTTGTGAAATAATTCCACCTAGATAGGCAATGGATTGGATTTAGCATGATATATTTTTTAACATGGTTTWAACTTACTCATTTWACTTTTCTGATATCTCTAAAAAACGATCTGAGATTTTTGTCAAAATCAAATTTGTTTTTGATTATATAAGTTATAAACATACATTTGGTTTTAAGATTGAGTTTCTTTAATAAGACCATGTAAACACAACATTTGATACATACATGTACTGATCTACCTAACAAATGGTAACCATTTATATTCAAAAAGGTTTCAACGTGAATCCCAAAAAACCTATTGAGGACCTCTAAAATAAGAATTTTGGAAAACCTTTTCTTTATGGGTCTCTACATCATAAAAATTACTGACAAAATGTTATAATCATAGCTCTTACAGTTCCTGTTAAATGATCATAAATCATTCAGTCAKTCAAGATTAGTTCTTTTTATAATACATAGATGTTTCACCTAAAAATATAAATTTTAAAGCAAAAAAATTGAAATTTTTCAAAAAAGCTATGTCATAAATTATAAAWTGTTCATTTACAAATTAAATACAAAATAAATTATTTATAACTAGCTAACATTTTAAACATTAAAGAAATATTACATTAGCACGTCGAAGGATGTCAACAGGTGCCACCAGTTCAAGCTCTTCGCTGCCTTCTGCTACAATGAATAAAGCAGTTTTTGTGGCCATTTCTGTACAAGTTTTTGAGGAGTATTTTGAATTGAAAAAGTAGTTCCGTTGGACGTCGAGCGCAAATAAAGGTTTGAGAGCTTTGATTGAGCTGTAACCAGAACAATATGGCTTAGCAAATATGAGCAGTTTATGGAGCATCTAAAAAATGTATAACTAATGAAACAAACAGATAAAAGATAAATACTTAGAAATAGTTACCTAATATAATAATATTTGAAGGTTATCTTCGGTATCCTATTCAGCCTGTAACTGTCGGAGAAGTTAGAATTTTCAAAGTTCAATTTAGTTAAAATTCTTAAGCTTATCTTTATTATCTATWCTTGTGAGTCAAGACTCTCAGATAACGGCGATAACGCACACCGGTTATCAAAGAATGGTTCACTACWTTTTGTTCCATAATTTTTTATTTCCAATTCAACTAGTTCTAGTACAATAAATTAATATTGTCGATAGAAATTAACTGTTCCAATGAACATTTTGTTCATAAAATAAATTATTCAACTAAATCTACTATATATATTAATATTATAGATACCCAACAATACATGATAAGGGCATCGCTCCTAAACTGACTTTCCATGTGTCATGTGCACTGTGCAAAGATGTACTAGTCGCTCCAAGGGAATTAAATGTGTATTGATGGATTGATTATTTAAAATTTTAAAATTTAAAATATTATCCATAAATAACATTAATAATATGATGATTTTTTTGAATGATTAATTAAAAACATTTAAGCATTTACTTATTACTGTAATCTGCAATGTAATAATTAATAGATACCAAACCATTCTAAATATTCTACCATGACCATATTTATAAAGTACGTAGRTAGTAGGTAAGTAGTAAATAGTAAAAGAAAAATGCAAATTTAATAATTTAATGAATATTAATTTTAATTTGTGATTGTAGCCACAATGTATTATTTGTTGCCAATATTATGATTGCAGTCTGGGGATTTTTTTATCTGTTTAAGTTTTTTTTACCGGGGAATTTTATAGGTATTGATTACCTSCCCGATTTAAGATATTATATACATCATGATTCATGACTAATTTGACTAAATAAATAGAGTAATAATAAATTTAGTTATGATAAATATCTTAAATCGTGCTTAAATCGTAGTTACCCCCTATACACGACCAGTGGCGTATTTAAGGCTTTTCCGCCTATAGGCACTTTCCAATTCGCCGCCTTCCTCCCCCC